GGTTCTTTCGCAAAAGGAGACAAGACATTCGAGAGAGAGATACGCAACACACTGAAGAGAACGAAGAGGGCAGCACCCACCGCTCACGAGAATACTCTTCTTCGTCCTTGCTCATCGCTACACTTGTGAGAATCCAGCAAAACTGCGCCTTGTTGCTCCACCGAGACCCATTCCTGACAGCAATAGCGGTCTCCTGACGTTTGCCAATCGCTGTCCGCGCGTTGCTTCCCCGCATCGTCAACGCTGACCATCGCGAGCACCACCGACGCAGCAGCGAATTCCCAGTAATGACAGCGATCACCAAGCGAGACCAGCGCAGCCCGGAAATCAGCGAGCTTCCAACAGCAGCCACGACCATACACCTTACAGCCTGCGCAGTCCAGCCACCTCCAGTCGAGAGCAGCGTCTTCGCCGTGCACCAGAGTCCTCGGTGAGAATCTAGCTCGACGCCAGTAGCCTGGGAAATCCCTCAGCGAGATCTAGCACTATACCATCCCTATCTACAGCAGCTCCTGCGCTGGTCTTGGCCATCTGACACTTCCGGACTCCTTGGTTTTCTGGTGACAAATTCAGCTTCCCGGTAGTTTTCACTGCAGCGTCCAGGAGATACCCAGCAGCCTCTGTTGCTGTTCTGTTCCTCCCCGCTGGACAGTCCAGTAGTTCACTGTGCCGGTGAGTTCCTTGTTGCTGCTGCCTTGGCTACGCTCCTTTGCTCACCATCGGTTTCCCCACCAGAGCCTCGCCGGTTGCCAAGCCTTCTGCCGCCGGTCCCCTTTTTTGGAAGCAAATATTCCAATCTAGGTAATTTCTCGAGCCGAAATATATTGATTTCCTAAATAGGATTATTTTGATTCTAACTTGATTTGTTTGGAATTGTTAGGCATATCCAATCTACAAGATTTTCGTGTTTTAAGATACGCGTATAATCGGTAATTTGATCTTTAAGCATAAGATTGGGTTATGGATTGCCTTTGTTTCCTACTTTGGTTGATTGGAATATATGATTTCGTGGAACGATTATATTATATGTTGTTTATTTCCTTATTTGAAAATATAAAAAAATTGCATTGCATAATATGATCGATTGCATTCCTATTTATTTCCTAATTTATAATTGCATGTCTAGGAATAATATAGTACTTTAGGAAAGTTTCGATGTAAAATAGGATTTAATTTAATTAAATAATCTCATATTATAGATAGCTTCATATTTTGACTTGAGAAGAAGATCACAAAAAATAGCTTGAATATAATCTCTAGATTTAGTTGCATTGTTGCTATGTCATCATTGCCATTTCATTGTTACGACATATGCCATGTCATCATTATTGCCATGTCATCAATATCATGCCATCATTTATGTCACATCATCATATGCCATGTCATTCAATATATGTCATTTAGTGATGGCATGTTTAGGTCATATAATCTACATTGCATGTCACATGAGAATAGTTCATATTTGCTTATTTGTCATCAGAATTAGGTCATATAGATTGCAATATTGCATATTACATGTCATGTTAAATTAGTATTATGTAGACCTAATTTATAATTAAAATTGCATCTCATGCATTGCTAAACGCGAACGATTACCTCGTGAGAGGAACCTTTCTTGTTTAGTAGTCAATTAGTTTTCCCTTCGGTGGTACACCTAAGATCGCAATAATAAGTGACATGGGTGAGGAGGTGATGCCTAGATAATCTTTACTTAGGCATGATGCGGCATGGAGAAATCTAGTTTGAGAAAATTGTTTTGGGAGAGATTAATTTTGGGAGTTACTTTTCTAGAGGAATCTTTTTGGAAAAAAAAGTTCGATTGTGGATTGAGTATAGCAAAATTTCCATATTTGAATGTTAATAGTGTCCTGATGATAATTATTAAAAAAATCGTATATCATTCGACGATTAATATGTTTTTGTCAACCGAACGTTTTTGTAATTGACTCATGTACATTAGCACCAGGAACATGAGTGTTGGTTGCTCGTTTTCTTTTCTATTTCTTAATTCACAGAAAAAGCTAGAGTCAGTCAAGAAGCGTGCAATAATTGTCTTTTTCGGCAGCATGCATCGCAGCGGTTCGATCAGCAAGAACTAAGCATTATCCAAGAAAGCACGGTAGAGCGTTGCGCAGTGGTAAACCAAAGTCGAAAGGCTGAGAATGGGTGGACATCACAGCAGTGGAGAAGTGGGTGGGTTTTGTAGTTCGGGCACTCCCCAGGGCATCGATGACTCCTTGCTCCTCTTATCTTCTCTTCTCTGCTTTCTGCTTTGAGTTCTCCATTTTTTTCTGATTAAGGTGTGTGAGAGTTCTTTCGTTTTTGTTTGAATAGATGTCGCTCCAAATTTAGTTCTCAAGCGGCATCTTTCTTTCCTCCTGTAGAAACACATAGTATGTACCACAATCGAAAGGAATTACTATTACTTTACTCCTTATCAACAAGTGTCCAGGAGATATATATTAGCAAAATCCTTTATGATTCGACGATTCGAATATTTTTGTCATTGACTCATGCACATTAGCACCAGGAGCATGTGAGTATTGGTCGTTAATTTTCCTTTTTCATTTTTTTATTAATAGAAAAGGCCATAATTGTCCATATCGTGCGACATGCATCGCATCCAATAATTGTACCGTTGGACGGCAAGAACTTTACAAATCAAAGCACCTGCATAGGTTCCACACACCTTCCTTGTCACACCCCGAATTCATCAAGAATGGAGGAAGACACGGTCATCCTTTCGCTCAAAGAACGCAACCTCAAACGGAAACCAACAACCTGCTATCAATATATATATCTCAATATATATTATATATGTATGTGTATGATAAACGAACAGGTTAGTTCCAACATCAGAGTTTCTATAATCCATAAAAAAAAAGATCTGCACACCTCTCTAACTAACGACTAACTTAACTCATACCAGAAGTCCTACCACCGAAAATTCCCCGCTAATAGCGCTCTCGCCCTACTTGCCGCTAATCGAGGAAATTGAAAACGTTTAAGACGAATGGGTATGAGCAACTACAGCTTAAAAAGTAATACATCTCTTTTAAGCAGATTGAACAACCACTGTGCATATATATAAAGCAATACAGAAAACTCATATTTCAATCTCAAGATATAATATATATATATAAATATATCAAATCAAATATGAATTGTTTTATTTCAATAAAGCTTTATACAAATCTTAAATACTCATTTAATCCATCATCACAATTCAAACATTAATGGTTAAGTCCATTGATCAATCTCGATCAAATCACACGTCAATGGTCAATTCCATTGACCAATCTATTGCTTAATATCAAATCATAGTCATGACACAACGTTAGGTGACAAGACGACAAAGATTCCCCCTTGGCTAGGTCTCCTCCTATTATCAGTCGGTGGGTCGGCCCAAAAGGATATCTTAAAACTAATATACATACCTAGAAACTCCTAACCAAGATTCACAGCGTATTGAGCATTAAACCATCATCTCCAATAAACCATAATACCAAATCTAGATCCATCTCAAAATCAAAATACATCTTACAAACTAAAACATATATTCTTTCGCAACTCGGTTTATCAAACAATATATTTCACAAGATATTTCTTAAATCATTTCGGAATTCATTTCATAAATAACATTCACAAATAAATATGTATAATCTTTCGAAATGTCTTTCATAGAATGTTTCTCAAAACGTCTTTCATAAAACGTTTCTCAAACCATTAACAAATAACTTAAAAGTAGTAAATGCCCAATCTAGATTTTTATAGAACGAATATTCTCTTGGATAACTCATAGGACATCGAATCCCTATCGCTTTCAAAATATGAGTTTAGAAATTCATGGAATAGATAGCACCACTCACTTAAAAATGCCAAAAATAAAACAACGAAAGTTACCGTAACTGTTGAACTCTCAATCCTATCAAATGAGTGAGAAATAATATCAAAATCGAGTAAAACACTACCTCAACTACATACTCGCTAACAAACTAACTTTCACGCGCTCACAAAACTCTTGTCTGAAGTAGATATTCAAAATTATTCGCAACGCGGATTTTGAGCGCAAAATTTTAGAATTTCACTTTGACTAAGCCATTACTCCAAAGCGATTTTCGTCAAACCTCATGGCTTCACAATGTCTTAATTTATTATTTTCATGAAATTTCTCAGCTTAAAAATTTAAAAATCGGAGTTCGCAATTTAAATTTCACATAATTTCGAAATAGTGTCCTTACGCGTTGTCCGTGGGTGTACGCGCGAAACCACCCGCGAAACTCGGTTTCGCTCTCTCTCCCTTTATGCTCAAATCTCCTTTTCTTTTCCTTTATTTTTATCTTTCTCAGGAGAGCGCCCCCAATAAATGTTGCTGTCCCCACCTTTATTTTTTTTAAGACTAAATCTGCCACTTCTTTCTACCTTCTTTCGACCTTTGACCATTCAACTTTTTCACTTTTATACACAAATATTACAATCTGCATAGGCTGAGAATCGGTGGAGATCACCAGCAGTGGTTGGGTAGTGTTGTTTGAGCATCCTCAGGTAGTCGACTACTCCTTGCTCTTCTCTGTTTCCTGCTTTGATTGCTGCATTTTCTTCTGATTAAGGTACGTGTGAGTTCTTTTGTGGAGAGCGCTGTACAAGCACGCACAGATCGGGGATTCCATATATCTCCTCTGTTTCCTGCTTTGGATGGCAAGAACTCAGCATAGTTCGAGGGCTCAGAATCAGTAGAGATGACAGCGGTGGGTGGATTGTGTTGTTTGACCACTCCTCAGGTAATCGATGACTCCTTGTTCTTCTCTTCTCTGTTTCCTGCTTTGGTTGCTCCATTTTATTCTGATGAGTTCTGAATCGAATTCTAAGAGACATATCTGCAATTCCCAGATCTGGGATTCCGTATCTCTTCTCTTGGACTGTAATATGGCCTTCTTTTGAGGCGCTGTGCTCCATCAATCTTTTACTGCCTCTGTATTAGTATAAATAATCCTCCCCAGATGAAAAGAAAAGAACCCCCTCATTCAGAAAATCCAATATACGGGGCGTCTTCCTCATCAACCTTTCCACAAGTAGGTGATTATGCAGGCAGAACCAAAAAGCCAAAAGGAAAAGACTATGAAGTGTTCTTGAGCTTTAGAGGGAAAGATACTCGTAAAGGCTTTACCGATCATCTCTATACTAGTCTTGTCGATGCAGGAATTAATGTGTTTAGAGACAACGATGAGCTCCGTGTTGGTGAGGAGTTTGGTCAGGAACTTCTCTACAGTATTATGCAGTCTAAGATCTCGATACCGATTATCTCGGAGAACTATGCTTCCAGCAAATGGTGCCTTCGCGAGCTGGCACAGATGTTGGAGTGCAAGAGAATCAGAAGGCAAATAGTGTTGCCCATTTTTTACAAAGTGGAACCCTCACAGGTGCGACATCTTACTGGGAAATTGGGAAATGCTATCAAAGCACATAAAGAGAATTTAGACAAAATGGTTGTGAAGGAATGGGAAGAGGCACTCAAAGAAGTGGGTTCCTTGAAAGGATGGGAATCAAAGAAAATTCATAATGGGTACATTATTCTCCATCAAAACATTATTTAATTTCTCATAAATAATTTTATTTTGAAAAAGAAAATAAAATTGCCATCCTATACTGAATATCATTGTTATGTGACAGGTACGAGGGAGCATTGGTTAAAATTGTTGTTAGAGAAGTTATTAGTGAGTTAAAAAGAACTTTCCAGCTAATTGTTCCTAAAGAGTTGGTTGGCATTGATGATCATGTGGAAGAGATTATGAGCTTGATAGATGCTAAATCTAATGATACGAAGATTATCGGAATTTATGGAATGGGTGGCATAGGCAAGACAACTCTTGCAAGGGTCCTGTACAACAATCTCTCAAGTTGTTTTGAACATCTCAGCTTTGTGGCAAATATTCGAGAAACATCTCTACGTAGTGGTATTGAATGCATACAGAAGCAACTTATTGATGATGTACTAAGAAGTCCATATGATGTGTCCAATGTTGACGAGGGAATCACTATCATCAAATCTCGATTTACAAGTAAGAAAGTCCTCATTTTTCTTGATGATATGGATGATAATGCTCACTTGAATGCTTTGGTTGGAGATAGTAGTTGGTTTAAGGCGGGAAGTATAATCATCATAACAACTAGAAACAAGAGTATTCTTGAAGAGGCCGGAGCAGGCCATATGTATCCACTCAACGAGTTGCCTTTGGAGCAATCATTGATTTTATTTAGTAGACATGCATTTGGAAAGGACTCTCCATGGAGCGGTTATGAGGTTTTCTCTCGTGATATTGTATCTACTACTGGGGGGCTTCCCTTAGCTCTTGAAGTTATAGGTTCATCGTTACGTAACAAGGGAGAAGAAGTGTGGAAAGATACATTAAAGAAATTAAAGAACGTGCCTCATAAGAAAGTGGCAGAGAAGTTGAGGATAAGTTATGAAGCATTAGATTACGAGGAGAAACAAATATTTTTGGATATTGCATGTTTTTTCATTGGATCACCTAAACAAAGTCCGACTTATATGTGGGATGCTTGTGGTTTTTTCCCGGGGAAGGGGATTGCAACATTGAGTCTTATGTCCCTAATTAAAATTGACAAAGACGGCCATTTCATGATGCATGATCAACTGAGAGATCTTGGAAGGGAAATTGTTCGACTAGAAAATTTAAAGGAGCCTCAAGAGCGTAGCAGATTTTGGATTTATGAGGAAGCCGTTGATGTGCTTGATAGCAATAAGGTAAGAGCTTTCTCTACCAGTCTTAGATCGTGAATGAGTCCATCTTCGCTTTCTTGTTTGAAATATAAATTATTGTCAATCCTGAATCCTTAAAACTTGCTCCTTCTACCTCTAAAAGAGCTCTTTCGATTAATTGTTGTTCTGGCTTGATTCTGGGACATAATTGAGGAGAAATTTCTTGGTTGTTGATATATATATATATACATTGTAGTATTGTAATGGGGACACTTGTCTGGTAACTTCAATGCTGGAACCAGAGAAAACTTGACATGGCCATGCTTTTCCGACATATCTGTTGATGCGCAAGTTTGATGTTTGGATTCATCTTTTGATTTCTTGTGAAGTTTTTTATTTTTTCTTTTGCTGAGTATTGACTTCTCATGAGTTGTTTGCTATGATAAATGAGACCTCCATTTATTTGTGATGATTAGCTATTCTGGTTCTGTAATTTTTGTGAGGATATTATTTAGTCACAATGGGTATCCATGCACCTTTTCAATCATAATAGTCATCACTTATTAGACATTTTGTTATAGTTATTGTTGAAATATACGCAGTCATGTACTAGATTCCTCTAAAGATATGCTTTTCTTTCCTTCTATGATGGCTAATTTTACTTTATTCATTCATTTCTAAGGCATGTTCAACAATTTTTTTGAGATGATGTATATCTTTCTTATTGATCTCTTGATATTATTTATTTGTCAAATATGAGTCCAATATGATAATGATTTTTTGATAATATTATTTGACAAGTATGATTTTGATATTTGTTATTTGTCAAATAAGAGCCCCCCATTGCTCATAATAAATGATAAATCCATGCTATAAAATATATACGTAAATAAAATTTAACATATGTGTACAACTAACTGGCATATGTTACGTGGTAAGATTTGTTGATTAAAACTCTGCATTAGATGAAAAAAGTTAAAATTTTACAATAGATGGTATTAATAGAGCCGTAAATATTTTACTTAGATTTCTAACGCTAAAAAAACTTTTGGCTTCTACTGTGCACTTTAGTCTAAAGATGTTGATCTTCCCTATTCTTATCAAATTTGATGAATCTGCAAAAACTAGAGAGGCGGTCAACGACTAATGCCAACAACCCGCATGGATAGAGTAAAAGAATAAGGCTGAAAGGTTTCGGAACGAGCAATAGAAATTTTTTTGTTCGATAGAGAGCACTCATGTTGATGAAATTATTTGAAACCATTGAATGTAATAACTTTTAAAATTGTAACCCAATGACATTGTAATAGGTATACATTGTCTGGTTTAAGTAATGATAATAGTTATTACAGTGTTTGGTTTCTGTTTTATTCGTGAATGACACAGGTAAGAAGGGGGGATAGCGGTAGAATTCCCAAAATACCCCTATAATCAGAATTAGAGGGAATATGATGATCATTTCTTTTATAATCAATCCTGATTCATAAGTTTAATACCCACATGAACCTTTAGATATACAATCATCAAATATTTATTTATGATTGTAATTAAAAATTAAGGACATAACATGTAATTACATGAAAATACATATTATATTATAGTAATTATCAATTAATAGTCAATCATGAGTGTAATAGACCACAAATATCATCAAGATATTACAATTTAATATAGGAATTTTTCTCTATCATGTAATAATTAATTTATGATTATGGTCAAATATAATCATATAACATGGGATCATGAAGAACAAATATTATTTGTTACATAATCAATAGTATAACATAATTATTTCATCACAATCAAGAGCTAATTAATATTACTTGTAATTTAGATAATCATTGTATTATGAATACTATGATATAAAGTAATGAAGAATTTAGATAACCGTACCTAATAGGGAGCAACTAATATTTATTATAAACAACTTTTAACATAATAAATTATTATGTATTATCAAGATAATCTATTCAGTATTTCATCGACAACAATTATATATTTTATTTGTTAATCATATTACACGTGATCAAAGTCAAGATAAGTATAATTGACGTTTTCATGACATAAATATTATACATAAATATAGCTACAGCCAGGCTGTAATAAGGTATGAGTATTTTGGAAATAGCTATTACAGCTTGGCTCTGTAATAGCTATTATTGCAAGTAAATATATTAATAGGCTATAACAGCCATTACTGCAACTATACATGCTGTTATAATCTAAACATATTGTAATAATCCCATTGCTATAAAAAAATATATGTAACTAAGAATTATTATATGTGTACAACTAAATGGCAAATGTTATGTGGTAAGATCTTTAGCTTAAAATAAGATGTTAAAATCTTACAATAAACAAGACTGATAGAGCCCTAAATATTTTACTTATAAATTTAACACTCAAAATACTTGTAGCTTCTGCTGCGCACACTACTATCAAGAACTCGATCTTCTCCCTTCTTCTCAAATTTGACCAATCTGCAAAGAACTGGAGAGGTGGTCAATGACTTGCAGTAATAATCTAAACTGCGACACTTACCATATCGAGACTAACTTTTTTGGGAACTCCATCAAATACGAATGGAATGCACCACCATTCAGACCATATCTCTCTAACTCTTCCCATTTTTAGTCCCCTGATTGGTTTGAGGAATGAATTGGGCACATGTCAAATGGTTGATGAAATAATTGGTGACTAAGCAAAAATCACCCGCAACATACTCATGCAATTCCCCGTCTCACATTCTTTTTCTGATCCATGCGTGCTTTTTTGTTTTTTCTCTGTTTTTAAAGCTCCTCTACAAAACGTAGTCTGATCAGATTTAGTTAATCACATACTTACCTTCTATTTAATCCTCGAAAATTACGGGATATTACATTACAGTAGAAAATGCAAGTAACTCTTAAATCTTGTGCATAGCACATGACTTACACTAATATTAGGATCTACAACACTTGAAAAATAGAAAATCTAAACATTCTGTCCATGCAATATAAAGAAGCGGACGTTATAAAGAAGTCATACACACAAAAAAAAAAAAAAAGGAGTTGCATAAAGAAGTATGTGTTAATAAGAAATTAAGATAAAAAAGTGGGAAAGACAAATCGAAGTAACTAAAGAATAAAATATATACTTGAATAATGTGTCAAAAGGGATACATTGTGGAAAGTCATTCAATTTCAAGAATAATTATGGGAAAGTTATTCATGGTGGATGCAAAAATGGAAAAATTTCTAAACTTCACTAGTATGGATTACACGTGCGTGGCATGTGAATAGAGGCTTTTCTCGTTTGTTTTAGATAGCCAGAAAGTTGTTGAGTTATGAGTAATGACATAGCTGCAAGGATTTATGATATGTATTTCATCTTTAGCAAAAGAAGGAATTTCTATGTAGGGGAATTTTATCATACGCATGAAGTTGAGTCTATCAAAATTAAATATGGTCACATGATGTGTTTAATTGGAGAAAATAAAGGAATTGCAAATGACATGACATACTATTTAAAAAAAAAACACCTTCTAAATTACTCTTAAAAATACGAAAAAATGTGTCTATTTAAACTTACTTATTCAAAAAGAAGTGTTGTTTAATGTGAACATAAAAGAAGTAAATATTATTAACTGATATCACTAAGGGCAACGAAAGAAAGGAACTAAAAATAATGTTGTACTGTAAAAAAAACAAATAAAGGTATCTAAAAACTACGCCACTCAAAATGCAAAAAGTAGTGTCTGGTCCAAGGATATTACTTTCGAGAGAGGTATCTGTTAATCAAAACATGAGTAACGTAGTGTTTGTTAAATGTCATTTTAGGAAGAGAAATCTCTTTTCATGCAATAATTAAGTAAATTACACTACTTGATGGGTTACTTCGATCTCGAATTCTAGAAATGAGAGAATTATGAGTAGCACAACGTTACATTATACTGTGGTTATAAGAATATACATATTCGCAATGATATGTTTTCAGCAATATTTTTATAATTTAATTTGAGACCCCTATATATTCCCCACAAACGTACATCTACAATCACATAATTGGAAAGTTTTTAATGTTTAAGTATTATCAAAACTAAAATTTTAACATGATATTTATTAATGTTGGAATTTAAATATTTTAACAATATATATATGATTTTTTAATAGAGAATCATCAAAGTTCCTGATTTAGTGATATAAAAACCTTAAGTTCACAACTTTTTTAGAAGTTATAAAAGAATGATAATTAGTAATAAAAACTAAAAAAAAATTCAAAACCATATATCTCAATATTATATGAATATTTTTTTATTCAATCATCAAATTTTGGATAAGTAATAATGTTGATTCTAAATTTTTCAACATCACGTAAGTTTTAGAACCACGTATTCACATAATAACAGTTAATAATGTCCTTATTTTCTAATATGATATGAAGTTTCATGTTTGGTTCTTTAAGCAGCATGATAAAGACTACATTTAACTTTGATTGATCTCGGCAAGAAGCAGACCAACAGAACAGGATATAATGACATAATTATAATGCCATGACTATCGTTAGTTAAAAACACACTAAATATAAACATTGAGATGCATAATATAATGGCGTAACAAGTTTATCTTTTGAGCGAGCATATTTTTGCACAAATGAAAATGTAGTCAACTGAATAGAACATTGCTTAGAACTGAAAACAGGGTGTCTATGAAGTTATTGACAAAAATGCAATAAATATACAAGAAGCTTTTGAAGGAAAAATAAATAGTGTCTCATCCGAAAGACTAAAAGTTTGAAGGAAAAATCCAAACTACCAAACAAATCAGTGTTATGACTCTCACCTTTTGTGCTCAACGTGCAATTCATCACCTAAAACAAAAATCAAATTTGGGTTCCTAAAATATTCGGTTACAACAAAAGAAAAATTTAAAAAACTTGAGTTCGTTAAGTATCCAATTTAATGCACGACCAAAAAAAAAAGTATCCAATTTAATGAATCTTCATGTCCAATCTACCCATAAACAAGATCTCATTAATTAATGGGCAAATTGATCAAAAACTTAGACGGCTGCTATTTCGCTATAACAAAATCAACACGACAATAAAAAGATAGCATCAAACGTAAGTAGTAGTAATCAAAAGAGAATTAAAAATCGTTTATAAAACATTTGATATATGATTGACTTTTCTTCCGTGTGTACAATGAAAAACACTGATTGAAGAAAACAGACAAGAAAGGAATGTAAAACACGTGCATACCTTTTGGGATGACATTCTCGTTTTCATTTTGTTATTGAGAATTACAAACAAGATACAACAGAAAAAAGGGGGGGGGGGGTTGATGGATTCTACATGTGGATTCTTTAATCTTGATACATGTTTTGATGGCAAGGTTGATAGATGTATATGGACTATGAGAGTTGTGTTGTTTCACATATAAAGGATATGAGTTAAGGTTGTGTTGTTTCACACAGGATATGAGTTAGGGTTGTGTTTTTTCACACTTAAAGGATATAAATTTTGATAGATATATTTGAAGTAGTGTATGCATAAAGAGAGGCATTCTATTGTAATTTTGAAAGGATGCAATTTTTAGGAATTCAAAAGTTGCAAATTGTGAAGGTCATAATTAGAAGAGGAAAAGTTTGGAAATATCTCTTGAGCTTCACATATTTACATAAGTTAAATAAATAATATGCAACCATAACCTGTCATTTCACAACTTTAAAGTGAGAAGCTTACACTATACTAGTATGACACAGCAAATTGAAATTAGTCCACCTTTTCTTATATATAGTTGGTCCCTTCTTGTCACTCGAAAATTATGGTCCACAATGTTTCCTATTTGCAGGGCACTAGCAAGATTGAGGCCCTTCGGCTTGACAAAAATGGCTCGGGAAAAAGGTACACAGGTGAACAATTTAAAGAATTGACCAACTTGAGGTTTCTTCATGTAAAGAATGCAAATCTCATTGGGGATTTCCAAAACTTGCTTCCACAATTAAGATGGCTTTGGTGGGAGGATTGTCCCTTGCATGTCCAGATAGCCAACTTTCATCCGAAGAAATTACTCGTGCTCGATTTGTCGTGGAATTTTATTTCGGAGGACTGGAGAGGATGGGGTCTATTCAAGGTAAAATGTAGAGAAGGCATACCCCTTGTGAATAATCATATATTGTCGAAAGTCCCATAGCATCGAGTTCTCCTTTTGTTCTTTTGGAAAGGTTTAATATCCTTCTTTAGACTAAGGTTTTTTCTCTACATATAAGAGGAACTTGTCGACAACTAAATATACCATAAGCTTCTGCCCTTAATATCTTAAATTGATAATATCTTAAAGACAAGTCGAGCTTAGGGCATATATAAAGAAATTTTTTTAATTATATTAATCAAAATCTATTAAAATATAGTTACAGTATTTGTGCCTATCTTGATTGTTTTTAATCTACATGGCTTCTAAGTGATTTCTCCGCAGTAAAAGTATGTCTTTTCAGCGGTTCATATTATATTTCTATATCAATTTTCTTTCATGGGAAATGAAAAGTTACAACTAGTAGGTATCATTTGGTTACGTTTACACAATCACTCTAACTACTTTTTACATGAAATACTAGTTGAATGATCATAGATAGATTCAATTATTTTATAAACAAAAGTAAACACTACTACTTCAAAGTAAGGGCATTGCTTTATAATAGTTTTTGTGAGGGCGAGTTGTATGTCATTTTTGTGAGTGCTAATCAGTTGATATTTATTTTAGCCAAATTGGAAGATATGCCTAATGCAATAAGAAAATATTGTTGGCGCTTTTATATCCCTAACATTCTTTTTGCAATAGAGATGCTTAAAAACATTTATATGTTGGTTACATAGCCAAACACTACTGCTTAAGAAACATTTAAATAGAACAAAGCGAAGTAGTGGAGTATCATAGCAATGATAGCATGGGAACCGTGCAATGAAGCATTTATATGTTTTTTAAAATGACTGAAAAAGCAAAGAGTAGTGGTAAAAGCATACATTGTAGCGCTCCAATCTCATTGAGGTATCCTCTCTTTCTTTCAGATGTCGACTGAGCTCAAAGTTCTCAATCTCACTGGTTGCCCATTTCTTAGAAGAACTCCCGACTTGTCCACTTTCGAAAGCTTGGAGATTCTGATTCTTGAAGGATGTTGGGATCTAGAAGAGATTCATCCTTCTATTGAAGACATCAAGACCCTTGTCTCCTTAAATGTCGGGAGATGTAGGAAACTGGAGGAATTACCGGCAGGATTAGGTAGAATGAAAGAATTAAGGGAGCTTCTCTTAGATCATACAGCTATACGAGATATTCCTATTTCAAGAGGTTGTTTGCTGAAGCTAAAGACTCTACGTGCCTCATCTTGTGAAGAACTTGCTAAACTTCCAGAATCTACCGGCTACCTTTTGTCATTAATTCAGCTGGACTTATCTTATTCACAGATTGAAGAATTACCTGAATCCATTGGTTTTCTGATGAAGCTTGAGACTCTTGATGCCTCTAATTGTGCGTCATTAGCCCTCATTCCTAGCTCCATTGGCCATCTAACATCTCTGCAGCGCTTGTTATTACAGGGATGCCGCTCATTGAGAGAGATCCCTGACTCGATTGGAAATTTGGCATCATTGACTGAACTAGATTTAAAATTTACAGCAATTGGGGAATTGCCCGAAAGCATTGGGACTCTGCAGAATTTGAGGATCTTGGACATTCTTGGAACTCCCATTACAAAATTGCCTGGTGCCATTACAATGTTGGCAAAACTCCAAGAGTTAAGTGCTTCAAGATGCAAAAACATGGAAGGAATACCTAGTAATATAGGTGAGCTGGTTTCGCTAAACAAGCTTGATTTAGACAAGTCAGCCATTGCAGGCTTGCCGAAAAGCATTTTTAAGCTCTCTTCTCTCCAAAACCTCAACGTTCGATGTTGCGAAAAGCTTCGAGAATTGCCAGAACTACCCTTTGGCTTAACAGCTCTAGGTATCACCTGCCAGAGTCCGGCATTGCCACATCTTTCCCAACTGACCCTTCTCAAGGAACTCACAATTTCTGATTGCCCTTGGCTTGAACGTCTCCCAGAGCTTCCTGTTGGACTAGCGGTGCTATATATTGCACGTTGCGCAAAATTAAAAGCGCTGATGAATTTATCAATCTTGAAGCACTTATTTGAATTGATTCTTGACGAGTGCTTTGAGCTAACAGAAGTCCCCGGCCTGGAAGGTTTGCAATCCCTATCCAACCTGCATGTACAGCAATGCCCCAAGATATGTAGGCTTGACCTGAGAGGCTTACACATCGATGAGGTGTTCCCAGATTCCTCGAAGTTAACGAGCCCAAAGGTAACTCAGCTTGAAGGATCGCTAGATGAAATTCAAGGTCTTGGTGGATCAAAATTCTTGCAAATGTTGGATATCCCTGACTGCACGGTCGCTGGACAATCTCTAGACCTTTCAAGTTCTAAATATCTCAGGGAACTACTGGTTACAAATTGCAAAAGTCTAACTGAAATTCGAGATCTTAATAGATTAGAGTCCTTAGAAGTTTTGGATATCTCCGGGTGCACGTCCCTGAGACAATCACTGGACCTGTCAAATTTAAGGCATCTATGGAGATTCTCTGCTGAAAAATGCGAGAACCTAGTTGAAATTCGAGGCCTTAACGGATCAGAATCGTTGAGTTATTTGGATATTTCTGGGTGCACATCCCTTATACAATCACTTGACCTGTCCAATTTAAGGTGTTTGTGGAAATTTTGTGCTGCAAACTGCAAGAACCTAGTTGAAATTCAAGGTCTTGATGGATTAGAATCCTTGAGAGATTTGGATATTTTTGGGTGCACGTCCCTTAGACAATCACTGAATCTGTCAAATTTAAGGTGTTTGTGGAAATTCCGTGCTGCAAACTGTGAGAACTTAGTTGAAATTCAAGGCCTGGATGGATTAAAATCCTTGGGAGAAGTGGATATTTCCGGGTGCACGTCCCTTAGACAATCACTTGACCTGTCAAACTTAAAGAATCTGCGGAAATTTAGTGCCGCAAACTGTGAGAACCTAGTTGAAATACGAGGCCTTTATGGATTAGAATCCTTGAAAGAATTGGATATTTCTGGGTGCACGTCCCTTAGATAATCACCGGACCTGTCAAATTTAAAGAATTCAGAGAATTTCTATGCTACAAATTTTAAGAACCTAGTTGAAATTGGATCAAATCCTTGGAAGTTTTGGATACCTCCGGGTGCATGTCCTTAGACAATCAATGGACCTGTCAAATTTAAAGAATCCGGAGCACTTTATGCTGCAAAGTGGGAGAACCTAGTTGAAATTCAAGGCCATGATGGATCAGAATCCTTGAGAAATTTGGATATTTCTGGATGCACATCTCTTAGACAATCGCACAACGTGTCAAATTTAAGGTACCCGAAGAAATTCTATGCTGAAAACTGCTAGAAGCTAGGTGTAATTTGAGGCCTCAATGGTGAGAATCCTTGAAAGATTTGAATATTTATGGGTGCACATCCATCAAATATCTCTGGATCTGTGAAGTTTAGAGAAGTTGAGAAGATTCCCTGGCTGCAAACTGTGAGAATTTTGTTGAACTTCGAGGCCTTGATATTTAGAATCTTTGGAAGGGTTGGATATCTTTGGGTGCACGTCTTTTGTACAATCACGTCTTTGTGGGAAGCATATTGGAAGAATCTAATTGAAGTTCATGGTCTTGAAGGGCTGCAGTTGTTGGTAAGTTTGTTAATCTTTGGGTGCACATCCATGCAACAATGACTCGACCTTTCAAGTTTGAAGAGTCTGAGGGAATTCTATGCTACAAACTGCGAGAATCCAGTTGAAACTCAAGGCCTTGACAGGTCAGAATCTTTGGAAAATTTGAACATCTCCTGATGGATGTCCATTGCATAATCAATGGACCTTTCAATGGAAAACATCGGAGGCTGGTATGTGTTGCAAATTGCAAAAATGAGTTTGAATATCTCTAGTTGCATGTACATTTAATCACTTAACCTTTCAAGTATAAAGATTCTGAAAGAATTAGATGTTGCAAACTACGAGATTCTAGTTGAAGTTCGAGGCCCAGTTATGATCTCTAGAAAGTTCAACTCTGGATCCACATCCATTGAAAGATTTCATGCTGAAAATTGCCGGAGTCTAGTTGAAATGCATGGTCTTGACAGGGTGAATTATTATCTCTAGTTGCACAACTATCAAAAGATTGGATATCTCCGGTTCCACTATCTTCTAACTAAATATTTTTGGCAAATCAAGCGCTACCTGGTATTCGAGTTGTGGTTCAAACCATCTACTTGTTTGGCTTTATTTATCTGTCTCATACTCTTCTTCCTTGCTAGCTTTTCGCAAACTCTGATGTTTGAGATGTACTTAATGGATTTGAACACATCTCAGTTTACCTTGCATTCATGTGGTTAACAATGTAGGTATTACTCACATTACGGTGAGTACCTTGAGATTTGTTGATGCTATAAGGCGATATATGAGATTCCATCGGTGAAGAGAAACCCAGAGCAGTAGATACTGGTGAAGCCCTTTTGTATGGGGAGTTGTCAAGTCTTCACTGAGTTTTTTAAGGTACAGCCGCTCATTCGGTGATTTAATTAAATGCAGGTTCTACTGAAAATATGCTGGTACTTAGTTCTGTCACCACATGATCCTATGCAGACGAGCCTTCTTAATGCCACTCTGGAAGTTAAAAATTTCTCAGAAACTCCCCAATTCAGGTACCATCTTTGAATTGTTGTTTGTTATTGGTTGTACATCTTGCATTATCTCAATAATGTGCCATATAATTTGGTTGACCATGCCTTTGATATTTTAATGCAGGTTACTGCTAAAACAATTGGTCACGATGGAGGTTGTCCAACAGACTCCTCTTTAAAGCAGTTTCAAAGATGAATTTGAGAATGAGAAAACATGCTCAGAGGTACACATGTTGAGAAGGCAGCTGAAAATCTTAGACAGAGAATCATTGAACATGTAATTACAAAACTCTGTCGTTTTTCTTCTTTTCATTGGATCATCATTCAGATTTGACTCACTCTATTATCTGCAGAATATTATTGTTGTTTTGAAGTATTACTTGAAGATTACTTTCAAGAGACTTGCAGAGCTGTTCTGCCTCAGTATCCAGGTCTGATAATGTGGAACATCTATTTATGTTCTTTATCACTGCCACTCTTTATGAATGATTGCCTAGACCCCTCATTTAACCCTTAGCAGCCTCTCTGCCTGCGATCCCTGATTGGGGCATGGTTGCTGCACTTGGATACAAGTTTCAAATTATTGTAAAAGAGGTTTTGGTGCCTTGGTTGCCAAAAGGCTTATCATGGATTTGAGAGTGTTGTCTTCATAGTTTTGTTCCGAGAACATTTCTGGCCGACATATACGTGTACACTTGGCTTAGTCAACTCCTGCTCATAAATTTGTGATAGCTGGTAAGTGTCATTGTCTGGCATTGTGAAACCATTTCTTGTCCCATGGAGCCTGAAATTCTAATGCGCTTTAGAAGGGTGGGAGGAGCTATGCTATATTGCTAAAATAGCTGAGCAAGCTTTTTCTGCTAGTATTCTGTGTTACAAAAGTATGTCGCTATTAGAGCTAATGTGTTCAGGATATCTGCGTAGATGAATCACTGAAGGGAGAGAGCTCGGTTTTTTTGGGGATCTGTTAACGCTTTTGTAGAGGGCTTTAATCAATCACATTCCTCAATTTATTAAATCAACACTATCATCTGATAGATAGATCGTGTAATAAGAAAATAAAATACCTTTATCTGATAGCTAATGTGTTCATGACCTGTAAGTTCTATATTCCCATTTTAGGAAGCTGAGAAGCATCTCTCCGAGATGGTTGTTTCCAAGTCCCTGGTGGCAAAGATAAGCCGGCTGATGGGATTCGTCTGTTTCCAAACGACAAAGGACATCAATGACATCTTGAACTCGTGGGCGACAAATTTGGAGAAAATCCTTGATCTTGTCAAGAAAAGTTGCCACCAAGTCCACAAGGAAATCATGGTTCACAAGGCTGCTTTGAGAGCTTGAAGATGTCCTAGTTGAATGGATGATCTCTCTCCCCTTGAGCCTCCCTCTCTCTATCGCCAAGAGAGAAAAGCTGAAGAATGCTGTTTCCCATTGTGCTCTGAAGTGGGGACTGAAGATATTCATCACAGAACTCTCGTGTAGCTGGCTTGAATTTGATTGCATATTCTGCAGGGGGACCAGATCTGGGCCTTGTTTTGGACTGATGATATGCCGAATACACTTTCGGCATTGGAATGTGTTTTGGTCTTTTAATCTTTCCTCTTTCCCTCCTTATAACTGATATTTTTGTGGGCTCTCAGGATCCGGAACTTGTACCAATGGAACAGTTATCAGCACAAGATGCGCACTCATTAGGACGGAAATGAGCGCCTTCTTACAAAACTCTGATTCGCATTACAAATTCTGATGGTGCTTGTGTTTCCTTAGCATCTGGGATGACATTACCTCTCCAAGAGTAAACGCTAATGAATGCTATTCTTTTATTTTATTTCACATTTGAAATGAGCACCAGTTTCTAGGGAGCTTCATTTCAATAAGATCACTTTTTATCGCCGGGACGTTATTTTAGTGAAGAATGCCATTATAAAACTTACTTAGCATATGTCAGACAAAGAAAATTAGTGATTTTTGATGTACTAACTTTTCTCGTTATATGTATAGTCAATGCTTTGAAAACTATATCGATCGTTATAACATCACTCAAAAATTATTTTTGAGGTCCTTGTTAACATAGCCAACTATTTATGAGAAGTAAATAGTTTTTTCTTTAGAAAACGTAATATTCAATTTAAAGTGGTTAGAAATACACGTTTTACTACTTTTAAAGTGTTGCAGTGTTCGACAAAAAAATATAGTAGCGAAAATTAGAGGTAACACAAAAATCAATTTTGTTTGGCCATTATTTGAAGATCTCTTTGCCACGTACTTGAAAAACAATAAAATTCTTTAAAAAAAAACTGCTATAAAGCATTCAGAACATTTAATTTGACAAAAATTAACGTAAGAAAAAGTTTGTGATGTTCATTACAGTAAGGCCCAGCTGATGATAAAATCGAATTCTTCATTGATCAGGAAGAGCAATCATTGAAACAGATCAATTCTTGTGAAAAAAAGGCTATTAAACTTTTCTAATGAACCGGTGGATCGTACGCTTGACGAAGAAGAAGCCAACGATTTTAGTTGACATTTTTCGGCAAATTGGAGTGGTACCAATTTGAAAACCCTAATTCGTTTTTATTTTTTTATTTTTTAACATAACCTTAAATCCCATCTCCCCTTTCTTTCATACTATTCTTTTCTTTTCAATTTTATTCAAGATAAGAACATCACAAGTGCCGCGTTCATGCCACAACTTTTTTTTTCGATTACTTAAGTGCCATAACTTCTAAAATATGTTCACTTGAGTGCCATAACGTTCAATCAATCACTTAAGTGCCAAAAAAATTTTAAAAATGTTTGCCAAGGTGCTAGAAATTTGACATGGCATAGCACTTGTGGAAAACATTTTTAAAAAAATTGCGGCATTCAAGTAATCGATTAAAAAATTATATGGAATTCAAGTGATCGGAAAAAAAAATTTATGACACTTAAATGCACCCTGTACATAACTTATGGCACTATGGCACTCAAGTGGGTATTGTACAAAAGTTATGGCACTTGTAGTGTCTTTTTTCCATTTTGTGGCATCGCTAATTGCTATGTGCTCAGCCACACTTTTTAAGTATCTCCTTGTGCTCAGCCTCTCTCCGTTTAATTGTGAAATTTGGATCCCACTTTTTCGAGTTGCTAGTTTACTGGGTTCAGCCTTGCGGCAAGTAATTAGCAGAGCAGCACAATGCCATCATCTATTTCTTTCATCCTCGTCTTCTTCTTTTTACTGCCGTCATCTGATTTTGCATTCGTTTTGTTGTCTTCTTTACTTTTGACCCAGATGCTTCTCTAGTTAACTTTCTCAAGAGGTACGAGAGCTTCTTCAGTGATGTGGTTTTGTCGTGGTGATGCTCGTGCATTTGTTTTCTATTTTTGAGCTTCATTCCCTCTTTTCAAGATAAAATGCATGTGTGT